GATACTAACCTTTCGCAGTCTTCTTCAATCAGAGAATGAAGACTCTCTTCAAATGGCTGTCACTCAAGTCTTCCGCGAATATGGCCCTGTCTATGTCAAGATTCGCCGTGATGGCAAGCATATGCCTTTCGCATTTTGCCAATACACTGTAAGTTGGTATCATGCTGTGCTTCTTCTATTTATATCTGACTTTTACTAGAAGCAAGAACATGCTGAGAAAGCTATCAAGGAAGGTAGAGGTCGTTTGATCAAAGGCCGTCCATGTCGCTGCGAAAAGGCCAAGGCACATCGTAAGTTAGTCGTGTTATATAACTTTGTTCGTACTGATGCTTCTCAGGTCTCTTTTTCATTGAACGCAAGTATGGCCCAGTCGTCACTCCGAGTGAAGCCAGAGACCTTCTTCAGCGCTTTGGCAAGATTGAACTTTGTTACACTGCTTCTCACGTAGAGCGTACTGCACTCAACCTCAACGAAGGCGTCATCGTTCAGTTCGAAATGTACGATGAAGGTCAAGATGCTCAATCTGTAAGTCCACGTTTTATGCTTCACACTCTTGGTGTTCATGCTAACTTGGTTCTAGGCTTTCCGCAACCATGAGCTTTACAAGCTTCAACCCATTGCAGGCCTTGCAGCACCTGCTCAGCAGTCACCACCTGCCGCAGAAGTTGATGCTACTAAGGCATACTTAGCAAGATATGATGTTGATCGTCGCTCAATTTTCGTTGGCAACCTTCCGTTGGGTACTTCGGAGCAACAAATTCGAGGCCTCTTCGAGCACTATGGTGATATCCAAGACATCAGTCTACGAGAGAACGCATCTAAGTTTGAACGTGAGTTGCCCCTCTTTTGCTGAATATCCACAAACTGACCTGCCGTATTTTTAGCAGAAGAGAAGTTTGCTTTCGCGTTTGTCGAGTTCAAGTCGCCAATTGCAGTTGTCAATGCTGTTAATGCAAAGGTAAGCAAGACATTTTTCTTTTATAACTTTTTCTTGACTCTCAACTAACATTGCCATAGAACGGAATTACTTTCGGTGGAAAATCTCTACGAGTTGCTCAAAAGGACTCTGAGAATGGTGGTAGCAGAGGCAGATCCTCCAGATCGCAGCCTTTGTCTTCCACCCGATCATTTCAGTCTCCTCGTGTTGATCGACGTGTAGAGCAACAAGTCTCCCCATCTGCTCAGATGTCTCCAATGGCTTATGCTTCACCTTACGGTTACACTGCTTATAGTCCATACTATGGCTATGCTGCTCCCTCAACTGTCTTCACTGATGGTCAAGGCCATTACTACAGTAGTGCTACATCGTACTCGCCAGCACCAGCATACTACCCGGGCTATCCTACTAGTCCTGGATATGGCATGCGAAACCCAGCAGTGGCAACTGACTTGACCGGCAGTCCTGCTGTTCCGTCACCATACTGCAGTTATGCTCCATACCAACAATATCCATCAGCTCCATACTGGGGTATGCAAAGCCCACCAGCTGATCAGTTGGCTTCGTCTCAACAAGCATACTACCCGTACTCGCCTATTAATGTTGGAAACAAGGCTCACGATGATCGTTCAGCAACTCCCACTCCAAGTGGACATGCCGCGGTTGTTGAGTAATTTTCCCACTATTAACAAAACCCCTCTATCAGAACTCTCATTCGCAGTTACTGCCACGGTGGTACTCGATCTTCTTCATGATATCTGGGTAGCATGTTTTTTCTTGTTTTCTCGTTTTTATGGCATTAACTCTGGTGGCAACCAGGTTGTGTCTTGATGTTTACTTCTACTAATTTCACGGAGTTTTACGGCATTTCTTCATCTTTGCAAGGATTTGGCTTCATCTACTGTTGTGCAGGATTCTTGTCTACTAGACAATCATGAAAGAGCATTGTGGCTCCTGGTCTGCCATTTACATGGTGGCCATCTCCCTATTGATTCTCTTGCTCCTTTGGACAAGATAGACATAGGATAGAGTCTTTTCGATCTGAACAAACCATGTACCTTCAATCAGCTACACCTTAGCTTAGGTAGAGTGAAATAAAAGTATTACCATTGTGAGCGTAGCTCGATATTGTAGTGACGATTTGCATGCAATAGTGATTAGTGATAAATACATGATGATGCAATATTAGACAAGTGCTTTCAGCGCGATGCCACAGAATGTAGATTAATATTCATCACGAAGCCTTGAGTTTATTTGTAGATGATGACAGTATAATTACATGTTGCTGTTGTGTGACTTCCAGCACAGTCTGCGCGAGTTGGTCTCTGGACAGATGACTAGGCTATATACTCCTCATCTGTGCCCCAAGTTGAAAGGGAATTGGGGAAATGTAGGCAGGATCATACAGAAAGCTGTGCAGTTCCCGAGGACATAAGTGTTTGACAAACTATCAGCAAAATCCAAGTGCTGAACTGAACAGTCGCTTTCAACATGTTGTAGTATGGGATTGAAAATTTGGCAATCTTGGGCTGTGAAATAGAAAAGATTGTGTCACTAGCGAAAAGAGTGTGGTATCTGGGGGCTGAAAGGCTGAAAGAGGCGTTGGAGGGTTGTGGTGGTTGAAGATGAATCTTGACTGAGAGGACGGAGTATTGGTGGGTAGGTGTTAAGAAGAGGGTTACGTAGATATTGTGGGAGGATGAATAAAGAATATGTAAGGGGGAGAGAGAAGTGGAGAAAATGATAAAGCGTATATTCTGGGAGATGGGAACCACTGGATCAATCTCTGCTGTTACTAAAGTAATTTCGCATCCGTCTCGGATTCACAGCTGTCTGTGCCTTATTTCTGAAGAGAAATGCCGTCTTGATTGTACTTGAGTTCCCCGTGGCAGCTTCGTTTATAAGAGCAATATGCTTAGCTCCAAGTAACTTTCACGTCTCTCCAAGAGACTTCTGTGGCGAGCCATAACATCTCATACTCACTCGCCCCAAGTGAGGTTTCAAGTTTTCCAGTCGCTTGTGAGAACTCTGAAAGGGGGGAATTATGTACAATACAAATAGCTAACCCCCACCAATATTTTACATTGAAACAGATGCATGTTGTACAGCGCCAAATCGCCATCCATCACTCCTAGGCCATCTTCTCCCACTCCTCTAGATCCTTCAACGTAGTCCCCCTCGTTGTACCCCAGACCTGCCATTCTGGATCTTGCCAGTTTCTATAAATCTTCTGCACAACCACATACTCTACGATATCCTTCTCACTGCTCCCGGGCAGCTCTTTTCCTCTATTATCCCTCAATGTCATCTTTTGTCTACTAGAAATTCTGACCACCGCTTGTCGTATCACATTGCCATCGCCTCCGGGTATCATGACAGCCTTGGTCGACATTATCTTAGGTCTTCGGTTCATCTTCACAAGATTCCATGTAACCTTTTGCCCCCGAGGCCTCGAAGCTATGCGCTGCGCGAAACTCTCGAAAAGCCCATCGGCACACATTCTGCGCAAGCGTCCAATGTCACCAGCAGCAAAATTGTGGTACATTTCCCTGTACAGAGCTTCGGCTGCGGGGACTATCGAGCCGCGCTTCAGTTGCACCTTTCTCCGTACACGCCCGGTTTTGGGAGACATCCATTTAAACGCAACGGTGGCAACGGTATCCCAGAATCGGGTCTTGAATCTCTTCCATTGGAATTTCAAAAGTCCTTTGGGGTGTCTGAACAAAGACGGGCTGCTAGCCGCGATAAAAGTATCTGGGATTTCATTAGCTCGGGAGTTCAGGAGGTGCAGGAGTCAATTGAGACGGACGTACTAGGTAGAAGGCCAACGTCGGTTGCCATGCGCGTTCCCCCCATTGCTTGCATGCGCATTCTGCGATCGGGGTGCTGTGTAGGATTGGCGGGAGATGCTTGTCGGGGGGTTATGACGGAGAAATATCGAGGGTTGGAGAGGGAGAAAGGACTCCGAGGGGTAGGGAAGACATGTCTGCGGAGAACTTGAGCCATCGAAGCTGTATCAATTCGAAGGGGGAGAGACAAAAAGCAGAAAGCAGCGTGGGAGGTTTCTCGTAAAGATTGCACCCCTCATTCCGTCAAAACGCTGTAACTTTTTGATAACATGGATGAGAATATTTCGATAGCCTTGGTGGCTGAATGTGGCTGTGCGGCTCGGAAAGATAGATCGACGAGGCTGAACAAGACATGAAATTGTGATGGCCTTGCTTGCTCGTAATACATTCCTGGAAGAATTTACCTGGGTACACTTCCAACTACCATTGATTTTGAATCGAATTTAGGCTATTCTACTAATTGCTACTATTTGTCTCAATCGTCTTTGGAGTACGAAATTTTGATTTGTTTTGCCCAAATCAGCTGCGCACACCTGGTCTCGTCCACTGACATAATATTCCAGTAGGAAGCCCCTCACCCAAGTATATCTTGCATTCCCAGCTATTGCAAAGCGGCAGCATATGCCGTAAACACCCTCCTTCTGGCTTCCACCCGGCGTCGTTCGCACCAAGCCCCTTTTCCTGCGTCCCCCTCTGAAATCCCACCCACCACCATATCTAGTCCTCCCTACAAACCGAACCTGCACCCCGCCGACCCAGAAGGCAAAACTTCCGTCCTACATCCTCGTGTCGCCGTACTTCTTGGCGTAGCTAGAGTTTGGCATTTCCCGCTCCTCTTTTGTCGATTGCTTAGTATCGCTCCGGCGATCTGGTGGGGTTTACGATGTGCGTTGACTTTCGTGAGAGAGTTGCTGTGGGATGAAATGAATGCTGTAGAAGCAAAGTGGCCGACTGAAAAAAGATTCAGGGTTGTTGAAGTCTTTTTGGCTGTTCTGGTGAGCAAGTCTTCTATCTTACGGAAAGAGAGATCCGGTGCCGTCGGTCCTTTCAGTGCTAACATTTGACATCAGTGGGTATGGACCAATTTCTCAAGAGAACTCAAAAATCTCTCATTTTGTGACAGAAGATATGGTATGGCGAAGTAAACCAATTGCTAATCCGCTCGAAAGTGTTTCTCATCCGCTTATCTTGCCTTCTTCTTTACGGACTGTCTAATGTCTAGATGGTATGTAAAACCTTCCAACACAACTCATTCCGTAAAGTCACGACCTGAAGCTAGAACATATCAAATAACTAAATACGTAACATATCAGGTTACTCAACTACACTCCTCAAGGTATGCGTATTTTCGTAAACACGATGGAAAACTTCGACTAACTGTCACCCAGCAACGATTGTCCGCCTGCTCACCATCAACTTGATAAATGCATACACCACATCGTGGATCCTATATCTATCAGGCGGTTCAGGAGATCCACGCTTACTTCTTCCTGCTTGGATTTGTATAGCTAGTGTACGTGCCGTCACCCGTTACTCTTTCGCGTTTTCTGACCATGATCCAGACACTAACATTTCTCTACCACCTGACTCATCCACGACTTGCGATACGGAAGGAGACTTCCTTATCAATTTCCGTCTTTTCAATTGCAAGTTTCATTAGCATGGTCAGTTTATTATCTCAGTTGTACCTTTCAAGAACGGACCTTCCGCCGCTACCCTTGATTCTGCATATGGAAGAGATCTGGGGGCATGTCAAGACAGGGTTGAACTTGATAGTATAGTGTAAGACATTCAATAGATATAATAGTCACTATTCACAGGCAAGCAACTCAAGTGAAGAACAGAGACATATAATAGGCTATGTGCCTTTATGTATTGATATCTTTACTATGCCAATTAGGCATATCGGATAGAATTTACAGTCAGGTACGCTGAGCATTCTGATCTGAATAGCGTGAAAAGAAAGAGAATGAAGACCCCGCTATGATAAAATAGCAAAGTTGGAACATTCGTGTGCAAAGCCCTCCCTTATTACCGCCCAGCGCTTCCTGTGTTGAATGCGGGGGATGATTGGGAATATCTCGCCGACATGTTTACAGAGTCTTTCGCAGCGACGGTGTGAATTGAGCATGCAAGCAACCACGTGTGGCGATGGGAGCTTACAAGGCTGCGATGGCTCGTAACGTGTGACTGACGATTTTAGAAACCGTGGACCTAAAGTAGAATTTGATTAGAAGGGTTATGACAAGTCGTATGCGATGTTATCTTACCTTGATGGTCTTGGCATCAAGCTCTAAGCCATCTTTACCAGTGAGGAAATCTTGCACATCTTTGCGCTGGTCTCCTTGAAGCTGGATCACGTCACCCATGATGACATCGTTGACAATTGTGCCATTGCAAGCTGTTACATGCGGCATTAGTACCTGATACCTCGCCGTTTGTCTTTTATGATGAGACTTACCGAACTTCTTCTTGATAACCTTAAGAATCTTCTTCTGGTCAAATTTCTTTGGAAGTCCTTGAACGGTGGTCAAAGTCTTACGTCCATTACGCTCTATAGTTATTATTGTCAGTGATTGACATGCAAGCCTCCCTTGATATTTTTGACCTGGTTTCAAGGGGTGTGAAATAAACTTGACATACGTTGGATACGAATATGGATATATTCTGCGGCCTTTTGGTCTCCGGGTTCTTCGTCGGCTTCGGCGAAAGGATCTAGATTTGCGCCATTGTTAGAACTTATGCCAAAAGAAGTCATGTAACGAGCAAACAAGCCAAGTTGAGATGTGATTGATTTCATCGACATTCGACAATGAGCATGTGCCACGATCATATAGATTGATTTCCTCACCAAAGACTTTCAAGTTCTCAATTTGAGTTCCACCAGGAGCAGCCTTTGCGGACTTTGCTGGCTTAGATGTTGCGATAGGGGAGGAACCGTTCGCGTTCAACGACGACTTTGTCTCCCCTGAGCCTTGGTCTGGTCCTGGATCTCCGGCGGCATCGGCTTCAGCGAAGGAGTCTATAAGAGATGGTTAGTGAAAGCACCCAGGGCGATCAAAGATGATTTTGGGAATCATCATTTGTAGGTATGGGGATTAAGATATATGCGCGGGAGTCTTCTCGTGATGTCTACTTCTCAAAGCTGAGAGTAAAAGGGGGGGGAAGGGGAAGGGCGCATACCGATCGTCTTGAGATTTTCGATGGACATAAACTCGAGTGTGCCTGGTATCTGTGGGACTGAGATACTATTTGATAAAGTTGATGGAAAGGATATAGACTTTGTGAAGGGATGTAAGATTGTAAATGGATTTGATTTCGAGTTCGAGTTCGAGGTGGGGTGATTTAGATATTGGTAGTTTTGGAAGGGTTATGTAGTGTTGTAATGTAAGAAAGGCGGTCGGTTTCGTTGTTTAAATTAAACGGGGGGGAGTTGTGTGATTTGTGGCAAGAGAGGCGGGGCGAAGCTTCAATGTTTAAAATGGGCAAGTGTTGTACAAATCCGGTTAAAGTGGCAAGTTTAGTGTTGGAAAGAGTCATCTAAATGACTCTTTTTCTTCCAATGACTCTTTCCAAAATGGTAAATGATTGGTAAGTGACCACTGCCGCTTTTGGGTTTGATCAGGGGTCCAGTAATTAGTCAGCATCGCCGTACTCGGTATTGTCTTCTCAAGTGGTTCAACGTTGGAGTACATTCTCGAGCTACCGTAAAGACGGTCGATAGATAAAGATAAGCACCTGCAGTTGTGAAGCTACAAAGAGCCAACTATTATCCGGTGAATACTAGGTACCTCCTTGATACCGTATCATCATGTCAGCTCTACAGTACGAAGCATCGAAATATGCATCTGGACATTCTCAGGTGTTTCCATATCAGATAGCTATCATCGAATCCCTAAATTCGACACTGTATTGTCTCTATTGTACTGCCTCCTACTTAGGTATTGTCAGATGTTAAAGTTTCATTTACACCTTCCTATCCAATATACTATAGAAACATTGATTCGACGTCACAACTGCTTATGCAATCACTCTCCATCAACCACTCCTACACTTGCGAAAAGAAAGCAGATTGGAATTAGTCCATGTCGATTATACGTACAAGCAAAGGGTATACTTTGCTTATTTACCGCCTACCAATGCTTTAACTTTTGCTCCAATACCAATATGTCAATTATTACTCGAAGAAGTCACCATTGACTACAATACCAGGCTTCCTCTTATGTCCATTCATGCTAATCTATCCTCGTCTGATCCCCACTCATTATAGACAGCACCGCTCCCATTCTCGTCTCCGTTCTGCGAATGCGCACTATACCATGAGTTCTTGGAGGGAGCTCCGCCCCATGATCACTTCTATCCACGTAACCAGTTATCGCCCATACATAAGTTGCTTCTGTGATTCATTCGTAATGTGCGACCATTATGCCGATTGAGCTACTGGAGCAGCAGGAGGTGGAGGGAGAAACATTGGAAGATAAGTCTGGGAGTGTAAATTAGCTAAGTGTTACCTACATGATGAGTTTGTGAATAAACTTACAATAACAAGAGCCATCACTGCAGCACAAGTAGATTAGTATGAGTTGCCAATGTGAAAATGAGAGAGCAAATGTATCTTACGTGACATTCCCACTGAGAAGTATGCCGGTTGGGAGGAGGTCTTTCTCGTCTCTGGAGATTCGCCCAACCAATTTTGAATAGCGAAAAGAACCGAAGCCCTTTTACAAATCAGCATGTACCTTCCTTTATCATCTTCGACATAGAGATGAACATAAATCTCATCCATTGAATTGACGTACCATCCGATGAGCTTGTTGCGAGTGAACATTGCTGCCATTGGCAGAGTGCTACCTAATGTGCCACCGAAATCGCTGGGAGATTCTTTTGCAGCTGGAACTTGGTAGGGAATAACTTGAGGTGAGAGACTGTCAGTACTTTTGTGTGCGATAACATAGATATATATAACAGAGATGCATAGCAAGGATTGGCAATAAACAAATACATACTGAGATCACCTCTTCGCATGTCCTTTCTGGCCGCCATGTTTGTTGAACGGGATGATCGTATGGTTGATAGGATTAGCAATGTGTAATATATCTGGATGCTTATCTGCACGATATAATTGATGAAGTCCAGCAGATTTTGAGTTCGAAATAGTATGAGAGACTGTGCTCTAAGTTTGTCATTTCATGTGAAGCTAGAAGCTAGATATGCACAAGGGTAAGATCTTACCTGTCCTAGGTGGAGTGGAATTGGCACGACCAACCTGGGGGTATCGAACTACGAACACGAGCCGTACACGATCACTTTTTGACTTTTTGGGTCTCTCTATCTATCTGTCTGCCTCTCTCTGAGTTCCGCTCACACCCACCTCGCCTCATCTAAACGCAATATTTCCGACCACCCTTCTCAACTGTATATCTTCATTCATACTATACATATGCTATTCCGGAGTGTACGACATAATTAAACATAATACATTATAACAGGATAAGATACTTTTACGTCCATCGTTGTTTTGACACGATAATAGCCTTAGCATCCACCAAGAGAGAAAACTGCGCCTGTGCGACGTACCAATACCCTATCACATCATCTAATCATCAACTCTCCTGCGGCGATTGTCAACCCAATTAATCACTTTTGGGTCCCGATAACATAAAAATAATTGTACAATCTCTCTGTACACTTTGCACATCTCATTCATCTCTCGCGCGGTCTGTTCGTTATTGGATTCTGATTACATTAAAGTCGCAGTTGTCGGCCACGGAATGGCGCAATCATGACCACAAAACCCCTCGTTGGGTCACAAGCCCAACGACAGTCGCAAAGGTCATTGAATTCAAATGTCACCTCGAGGCCCTCTCCTCAGAGGAGCTTATCATCTACTTCCCCAACTCGAAGACACAATGAAGCGCTCATAGACTTGACGCTTGATGTGCCGGATTCTACATCGGCCCGTTATGGGCAAACCTCGAGAGCCGGAGGGTCGCGCTTGAAGCAGGAAATCTCAAATGATTCGAGGAGTTCTGTTCAGACGGATGCATCAAGCTTGGTTCCTTCGAATTCAATATCAAATAGGCAGTTTCTGCCTCCGCGCGGTCGACCGCAACTTCATTGCGACGTACTTCGCATGAGAGCTTCAAAATCTAATTTACTATCCGATCAAAATCACAGCCAAACGCCTGCGAAACCGTTTGCTTTTCCTGTCAGGCCCGGGCAACATCCTCCCCCTTCTCTTGACAGGCCGAGCCCGTCGATTGGGCCGACCGGAAAGAGAGATGCACGCCCAAAGCCTTTTGTTTTAGAAGTTCCTTCGGCCGCACCTTCTTATTCACCGAATGGTAAGTCCAGCCATGATTGGGCAATATCCCAATGCCATGGTATCTCTTTTAACTTCTCAATAGGTCATGCAGATTTCTTTCCGTGGAACGGTAATCATGCAGAAGATCAGTTCTCTGAACCGGTCATCCGTCAAGGCTTCTTCGACAAGTCGCAAATGTCACAGAACGAGACAGGTTCCGCAAAGGCATCCATATACCCATCTTTAAAACACAAAAGTGGCCTGCAAACATTATCCTCGTTATTTACAAGCGTTCTAGCTCAGCGAAGGGCCCATGGAAATATCACAGCCGATTCAACCTTCAAGCCCCCGCCGCGTGTAACGGTTACAGATACAAAGAGAGAGATATGGCTCAAAGATCTAGCTAACCCGACCATATCACTCCGTCGCCTTAGTCGATCGATTCCTCATGGAATTAGAGGTAAAGTGCTCTTGGAACACGCTCTGAATAAAAACATCCCCATCGAGCGGGCTGTATGGCTAGCCAAATGTGTTGGTGCAAATGAACTGCGGTCTTTCAAGAGAAAAGGTGCAGGTGGTGCCTTCGCTATGGGAGGAGAAGCGAAATGGGTGCGAGATTTCACAGTTTCTGTTGAACAGGTGTTGGAAAACATTATTGGGTCGTGCGGAGAAAAGGACTTTCGTCGCAAGATCTATTATGCGTAAGTATAGCTCTCTTCTGTCCTCGCGCATCACTTACAAGCATGGCAGTATTCGTTTGGCTGCTCACTTTCATGCCGAATGCCTTCTGGATCGCGAGCATTACATAGATTGGATATTATCTTCCCTAGAGACGACTTCTCAAGCAAGATTACCAATGTGGCTATTGATTGCCCAAATGTATTGGGAGGATATTCTGAAGTATCGGAGGTTCGGGCGACGATTCACAACTGTTTTGTTGAATCGATTTTCGGAGGTATGGCATCACCATTCATTTCCCCCTGACATAGCTGACAGTATTTCTCTCAAGACAATCAAACATCCAGATGCTGATATATTGGGACCTTTGATTGGTCGTTTGCGCATACTTCTAACTAAATTGATGACTTCAAATCCGGACAACTTTGTCTCTCCTGAGATTTGGTCCAAGCACAGGGAAGTCCTACAGGCTTACCTCAGCTACTCAGACGAGCTTCCCATCTCTGTTTGGGATGAGATTAATCGTCGCAATATGCGACTCACTACTCTAGCTCCTGAAGCCCAGCATCCTCCTCAGCAACGCCTTTTCAACATACTAGACAAGTCACTTTTTACCCTGTTCACACCGGAGATCATAGATATCTGCTGGCAACTTGATGATGACAAGATGGCTCTTGTTCATGCAATTTTGGACTGGTCGACATCATATTATAGACCTGGACAAGCAAAAGTATTCATTGGTGCTCGCATTATACGAGCTTGGAGAAGGCTGGGTGCAGACACGACTGCGGCCACGCTATCGTTTCTTGACTCCAGTGCTTGCGAAATTGGGCGTAATAAGGCTTCATTCTATCACCTCGTTTCCGAGCTAGCGAGATCAAACGACTTTTGTATCCCGACATATCTTCAGTGGCTGATCAGCCGTGGTGGTATACATGATCATTCTGGCCTGGCACCAGGCGGTCCTTGTGGAACCAGGCTTCTTGCAGAACTTCCCATCCAAAATTTGAGCGAAGAAATGGTTGGGTTGCGCAGGTCTTTGCTTTATCGTGCCGAATACCCAATAGATACTGAGGACCGCAGGGTAGCAGCTAGCATTTCTAATATAAGCAACGCCTTCCGAATGATGCCAATAGCTTCAGAACGGCGATTTCCACAAGTAACCCAGGACTTCAAGGGCTTAGATGATATCCAATCGCTAAATCGCACAAGCAAATCCCACATTGGGT